AAATCCTGAGCTGTAGGAATGCAGTATTTGGTGATCTGTGATCACTTCTTTTCCAATTCCAGTCTATGGGAGCCAGGGCTTTGTGGAGCCAGCAGCTAGTGGACGTAGTGATATTGCAGGTTTTTGATACTTCCGGGTTGGCTTCATTTTTCAGGGCCGGTTGCTACGTCCATCTTTTATACAGTCTATGGTTTCACATCACGTTTTGACTGATTTACAACATTTTGTGGTTGATTCACGTCACGTTTTGGTGGATTCATGTTTTATTGTAGTTTCTTCCATCTCACTTTCATCTCTGCAGTCTTGTGGTCAGCTGTGGCTGTTCTGCATCTCTGTATTATTTCTCTGTTGATTTTTTTGTGTGTCTTTGTGGTTTAGATAATGATTTCCAACGTTGATTATTTTCTGGATGGATCATCAAAACATCTGATCCAAACTCTCCTGACAAGAAAAGTCCCTGAATGTGACTGATTTTTATGAATTCAGTTGGATAAAACTGTTTGTTTTTGTGGCATTCTTAAACATGGAGACATGTAGAATAAAGTGATTTTGATTAAATATTGTGACGTGATAACTGGGTGATCCTTAAATCAACGATTCGTCTGCTCATTGATTTATGCTCAGATGTTTGGTTGATGTTCTGAGTTTCTGTATAAACGGAGGATCTCTAGTTTGTTGGACTGATTTCTAACATCGTAACTGTGATTTTTCTGCTGACGTTATAGATGGACATTAACAAACTAAACCAGGAGGATATCAGAGACATGAAGAGTCTTATTTCCTCCTCAGAGTCTGATCGGAGGCTTCAGGCCACAGAGGATGAGAGGTTAAAGCCATCGGAGCTTCCTCAACGAGTTCAGCTGCAGTAAAACCTCCAAGAGTTCAGCTTTTATCTCCACAACGACGTGACGACGGCTTCTGTCAAATAAAACTGAAGCGGGCGGCTGTAAGTCTGTCACTGCTGCTGTTTCCGCTCCGTCCACCAACCCATTGTCTGCTCAGGATCCCAGAAACCCACAAAGTGACTCACGAACATCACTTCAGTCCCAATTCACCAGCTCTGATTTATCCGGAGCATAAACTACAGATGTTCATAAAGATATGTGTAAAATATTCACTCATCAAATACTTTCTGAGACATATTTTTCCATTAAATGTCCCATTGACTCACTTTCTTTTTTTTCACGGTTAAACTTGAGGCTGTTTGAACGACAACATCTGAGGAACCATTAAAGATAAAAACCTGAAATATTAACTGTTTTTTTCTCATCATGTCATTTTAATATTGGACTTAGATCAATAATCTAATATGGGGGAGTTGAAATATGGAAAAAAAAAGTGAAACTATCATGAAAAGTTCCATCTTTTAGCTCACATTCATAAAAACCCGATGAAACAGAAGTGAACTCGTGATATTTTCTGATCCACGTGTAGCTGCAGGTCACGATAACACACAACTTAACATTAGAATACTTTAATGTGGAATACTTGGTCACAAACATGAAAAAATAAAGAAATGACACAAAACTACACGGCAGGTTTGTGTCTATAAAGTGTGTTTTTGTGGTTCAACTTGTCAAAACTGATCAATCAGTGATAAAAGTTCAGCAGAAATGTGTTTTTTTTTTTCATATTTGTGACCAAGTGTTTCATACTGAAGTGTTCTGATGTTCAGTTTGTGTTATTGTGACCTGCAGCTCCATGAGGATCAGAAGATAGTTGACTTCTGTTTTATCAGTTTTATTGTTAATGAGCTCAAAGATTACTTTCATCTCCCCCATAATCAGAGACTATTGATCTACTGTCCAGTATTACAGATCGATGACATGATGAGAAATACCAGAGAGCACTTCAGGTTTTTATCTTTAATAGTTCCTGAGTTGTTGTCAAATAAAATACGACACGTGAAGCTAAAACTTCACAGAGACGATTTAAATATTCATGGTCTGTGATGGTGCGTGGGAGCTGGTGGAGCAGAGGGCTCCTGATGGTTTAGGATGGGTTAATCCTGCATAAACAGCTGCTCTCTAAAGTTTCCGCCTTTAAAGTTGAACATCAGGCGCCTCTGAAGCTTCTCGCCTGAGCTGTTTCTGGTCAAACACTTGATCTGGTGTCAGGACTGGAACCAAAGCGAAGGAAGCGTGTTCAGCAGCAGCTCTCCTCAGCGCTCGTATCACAGAACATCCAGAGACTCTGATCACGAAGCTCAACTCTCCTAAAAACTCCACTTTCTAGTGTTTGAGATGAAGCAGCCGGCGTCTGGCTGTGATCAAACGCTTCGACGCCTTTGAGCCGGTCGCTGGTCTCTCCGCACAATAAACCCTGCGAGCGATCGGATTTAGAAATCACACCATCAGCTCACATCAGAACCAAACCGCCGTGTTCTCAACGTGTTTGTGGCTCTTTTGTCAAACGATGAAAAAGAGAAAATAACAGATCAAAGTTGGAGCAGATCAGAGGCCCCGAGAGGAAACTGACACAAATATGAAAAATAAAAATCAGTTGCTTTCAGGCGCAGCGCATCGCATCAGCAGCAGGACTGAAATCCACAAACTAATTACAAAAACGACTTTAAAGATTTCTTCACTGTAGTTGAATATTAATGAGATGTGAAGAGCTAAACGTCCGGTTTAGTTCAACCCTCTGAACCCCAAAAACCAACGACGTGTTCTTTAAATCAGAAGCAGAAACTGTAAAAACACACAGAATCTTCAGATTTCCGACGGTCTTTGAACTGACCGTGTGTGACGTGCAGCTCCTTCAAGAAAATGAAGCAAAACTAAGCTTTCAAATCCCCCAAAGTGGACACTGATTCTGTAAAAACCTAAACATCTAGAGCTTCTTCACACAACCGTGAAGTCGTGACTGAAGCAGCTGTGACAAACAAACTTCCTGGTTGAACTGCAGGCAGTGTGAGTGTGGAAACAACCTGACAATGTAAACAGCAAACTGGAGTCACAGTTGCTTCTAGTGTTGGTGAAACCTGTGGAGGTGTTATTCTACGTGTCTCATATAAAAATTAATCAAAAATAACATATTTGCAGGAGCCAGATTCTGTAAAAAACAAAATATTCTGAGCTTTTTGGTGCAAATATGAAGATAGAAGTGACTCAGCTGCAACCAACAGTCACATGACAAAAATTCTGGGAGTTTTTTGGTTGAACTGCAGGCAGTGGAAGTGCAGGAGCAAATATGAAGAGTTCATTTTCAAAAACAGATTTGCATATTTACAGAAAACGTATTTTTTGTTGTTTGCTGGAGATAATATCCACCAAACTGAAGCTGAGTGGATTTGACTCACTACAAAGACATTAAAAAAAACCAGAGATAACTGAAGTTTGATTGATGTTGTCTCAGGTAGACGATGGAAAAATGGGTTTTCTGAATGTTTGTGAAGATGGAGTTCTCTGTTTTTGCAAATGAACTCTTCATATCAAAATATCCACATTAAAGTCATTTAATCCAGCCTTGGTCACACCTGGAAGCATGTTGTTTATGTTGATTCCACATTTTTGACTCAAATCTGACCTTAAAGTTGTGATATTTCATCAAAACCTGTTCATTCTACATGTTTTGTTTAAAAATATCACCAAAAATCAAAGTTTGCTAAAACTAGATTCTGTTAAAAACAAAAAAAAAAATCTGAGTTTCTTTGCAGAGAAGATCACAGCAGAGTGACTCAAGCTTTCAGCTGAACAGCAGTAAATAGCTAAAAATCTAAAGTATGTTGTTGGAAAGCTGCTGGACCTTTTGTTTTCTAGGTTTTTTTCAACCTTAACTTTTGTATTTCTTTAAAATTCCCATAGTTCTGCCTGAGTCCTGCTGACAGAAGACATCTCTGAGTTCTCTCTCCTTCTTCATGTTGTTCTGGAGCTGCAGGACTTTATGTTGCAGAGAAACATGAACCCCAGTGAAGGAACACGAAGCTCGGTGAGTTAAAATGAACCAGGAGTAAATAAACTACTAGTTGGAGTTCAGAGGGTTGATCTGAAACTAAAAGACGAGTTAATGGATAAACTTTGACCTGCAATGTTTTGTGAAAAAACAGTCGCTGCTGGAAAATAATCATTTGCTAATTGTCTGCATCTGAGATCTGAGAGAGGAACAGAAATAATGTGAATCAGTAATTGACCCGTCTACGACAACCGGACTGAGTTCTGGAGCTTCACCTGGTTCTGATCTCTGCAGGTAAAACACAGTTAAACTCACGACTCATCGAGCTGCTTCACTCATCAGTCTCCTGATGAAGGCAGCTTCTCCTGGAGTTACTTAACAAAACCTCACGATGTCCATAAAACGAGCCTCCGGGTTTGGACTCGGTGGAGCCTCCAGGTTTGGACTGAAGTTCTGATGGTCTCACATGATGCTGGACAGTAGTAGCAGAGCTGATGTTCTGGTTTCTGCGGCTGGAGGCTCCTCTATGGCTCGTTCTGTGTCCGGCGTCCGGCCTCAGTACTGGTGGTAGTAGTCGGGTCCGTCCACACCGTACAGCTCGGCCAGGCTTCGGAACCGCGGCCCCCAGTCGCTCAGGAAGTCGTAGTCCAGGTTGGAGCCGGTGGAAGAGCTGTCCAGAGAGCTGAGCGACCCGGCCAGCGACTCGGGCCCCTCATAGCCGTAGATGTGCAGCGTGTCGTAGGGGAAGCCGTCCCGGTCGTGGTCCGCCTCGTCCTTCTTCACCTCGATCATGGCCGCCATGTCGCCCTTGCAGGCGGCCGGCTGCTGGCTGGGCTTCTGCACCAGAGCGTAGAGCGACGGGTGGTGCTGGTTCTGGTTCTGGTGGCGCAGCAGCGAGCCGTCGTTGCAGGCCGAGCTGAGGATGGAAACGTCGTAGCTGCAAGAGACCGACAGGGAGTTACGGCAGACAGAACAGACAGAAACCAGCCTCAGAGCGTCAGGATGTAAAAAGTGGTACCCGTTGGTGTCCATCTCGCCGCCTCCCTCCTCGTCGTACGTCACCAGCTGCTCGTGGATCTCACCGCTGTTCTTCATGCTGGACAGAGAATCCTTCTGGTAGCGTTTCCTCATCGCAAACAGGATCACAATGACTGGAACACAAAGAGACGAGGTCAGGATGTGGTCGGGGTTTAGGGAGTGAGAGTCCTCCGAAACACAAGTTAGCACAAGTTAAAGACATTTTCTTTTTGCTCTTTCAGACTCAGACTGCAGGAGTTTTAAAATCTTCGATCAAACACTGAAGACTGTAAATTCTAAAACTTGACAAATTTTTATTATTTTGTTTGTTGTTTGTCTCATTTTGTTGTTTTATGTTTAATTTTTGTCTATTTGTGCGTGTTTTTTTTGTTTTTTTTTTGCTATTTGTTAAATGTTAATTTTAAAATAAAAATGTTTTCTTTAAGAATTTTAATTTATGGTTATACCCAGTTAGATTTTAATTTTTTTTTGTTATAAATGCGATTCTTTTTCTTTTTATTTCACACTGTATTGATGATTGAATCTGTAAAATTAAGGTCGTTTTTCTACAGTTCATATCGTGTAAAACCAACAGTGAATTTAAAATCATCAGACAGAATTCGTGAATGTGTTCAGGAGACGGATGATAAAGCATCAATGAGGGAATGAAGCTGGAAACCAGAACAGCACGACGGAGGAAGCCGAGGAAGGTTGAAGGTTCTGAGACGTTCGCCTTCGAGCACCAAACCTTAAATGAATCTGCTGAACCGGAGACGAGCCGACAACCGAGTCAGAGACAGAAACAGGATGAAAGAGTCGGTAAACACAAGGAGGGAGGAGGAAAAAAACGTGGAGGAGAGGAAGACGAGGCAGGAAGACGAAGAAATAAACAGACAGAGGAGAAGCGAGAGACGAACAATAGGAGTCGCAAAGTATGAAGAAACACAACCGTCAGTAAAAGTCACAAAACTAAAGCGGCAAAGCTCCGGGCTCATGAGCAGGTCAACGACCCCGAGTGTCTTCTTTCATTTAACTTTTATAATATTGTGTTTTGTCATTTTGCTTTTCATTCGTGTGTCATTTTGGACTACAGGTAGCTCATGTTGGCAGCAGAGAGCATTGTGGGAGTTTAGCAGCAATGGGACCATGACAGAGACTCTGAGGAGGTTCATGACCTCCAACCAGAGTTCTGGTGTTGAACCAAGGAGGAAAGAAGTTTAGCTTTTTACCATAACTGTTTAGAGCAAGTGGTTTATTTTGGAAAATCTTTCAATGAAACATGTTAAGTCATGAAGATGAAGTTTGGTGAATGTTCCTGATAGTCGGTGTCATTATAGCGGGTTTTTGAAGACTAAGGCCACGTTTACACGGAGCCGGTATTTACAAAAATGGATCTACATTTTCAAAAATAACCTGGTTCACACCAGATCGTTTTAAAAAAAATCTTCGTTTACACAAACCTGCATAAACACGTCGTTAAGAGCTGCTATGAGCTGACAAACCTATAGGGGGCAGTGTAACGAGAAGCATAAAGTCATGCTAGCCAATCAGAATTCTGGAAAAAAACACAACAATGAAAACTTCCTGTTCCTGTTACGTCCTGTGCGAGGGTTGTTTGTTTGAACCGACAGAGAAGTGGAGCTACTCCTGAACATGGTACGGGAAAAAAAAAAAGGGAAAAAACCAGCACTGCTTTAACAGCATCCATTTCTATCACAGCAGCCAAACTGTCAACATGGTCGCACACGTATGATGATGATGATGCTTTTCTCACACACTGTGACGTCAAACTCCGTCTCTTCCCATCTACATGCAAACGTAAAGACGTCGCTTTTCCAAATCTCGACTTTTCCCGGAGTTTTCAGATGTGATCGTTTTCGGTGACTTGTAGCTTCGTTTACGTGTAAACCAAAGATATCACCATTTTTGCTACGTGTAAACGGGGCCTAAAACTGAAAACTCAAACTTTTTGTTCTGTGACTGTTGGATGCACCTGAGTCGCTCATTTTCATATTTTTACAGAATCAAGTCCATTTATTTTGTCATTTTTTTAAATGGTGATATGTAGAATAAAGTGACTTTCATCAATTATGACAATTTTAAGCAGATTTAAACAGCATTTGGTTTCTTACAGAGCTGCACGTCTCAGGTGGGCAGCTTGAGGAACAGTTGCTCTTCTGTTTTCACGGCTTCTTCCTTTCAGAATAAAGGCTCGTACAAACTCATCTCATTACATTAAAGCAGGTTCACAAAGTCAAACGTGATTAGGAGGAGAGTCGGTAAAGTTTTCCTGCTTATGCTCTGCATTTTTGTGGCTGCAGAGACGAAGAATGAGGACAAGGAGGCAGGAGACGAAACAAAAGGAGGAAGGAGGGAGGAGAGGAACCAGGAGGCAGACATGAGTACTGGGCCGGCAGCCGTCGGTCCTGATACGAAGCTCGTGCTCTCGGCGGACGGCAGCATTAGTGATGCCTTTTAGTGGAGGGCGAGCGGGACTAATTTAAGTTTGCATGGGAAACCAACAGATTAATCTTTTACAACACATGCTCTGCAGTTTAATAAGCTCCGGAGATATCAGACTTAAGAGGGACAAGAAAAAAAGAGCAAGAGCAAGAAGAAGCCCTTTTCTTTGTAGACTGAGAAAAATTTCCTTTTGGTGTCAGACGACGAGTTCATGTGAGAAAATGTGAAGGTGGATAAATGGCTCTGGGCTCCCACTGATAATGACAAGAGCATTAAATAGTTAATCTGGGCGGTTTGATAAAGAGGAGGAGGAGAAGGACCCGGAGGGGAGAGGAGCAGGGAGATGAAGGGAGGCGTGATAGTGAAGGAGTGTATTAATAGTTAATAGGTTGAGTGTTTGCTGGTGTTTGATAAGCAGACGGCACCTAAAGAGCTGATAAACTCTCCTCATTACATCCTATTCTTCTGCCGCTTTTCCCACAATTCTGCCTCTTTCTGTCTCCACATCGAGCTCCATCCATCCGCCTCCATCCTCTTTATCTCTGCAGCCTGCCGCTCAGCCAACGTGACAAGTGTCTCTTTTTCCCCAGAAATAAAAAAATAAAAGCAGGAGAAGAAGAAGGCGCAGGGCGAAGGTATCAAAGAGAATATTGAGCTCACAACCACAGGCATTATTTCCACATCCGCCGCTGCATTATTCATAAAACCAACAACACCAGGAGGGAAAAGTTCCCCACAACAAAACACAAATCTTATTTATCGCAGAGCGAAGCCGAGTGGATCCTGCACGAGTCCCGATCACTCAGAGAGGCGCTTTGCATCCATCATTGATGATATCTTCATGAATTTCTCTCAGAAAAACAACAACGGTTCGGCTTTAAGGCACAGTTTGAACCTGTTTGTTAACAGCAGAGTAAAAAGTACAAAATCTGCTGCAAAAACTGCTGCGTAAATGTGATTCAGCTGAGAGGTGCACTGTAAAAAAAAAAAAAAACGGTGAAAATGTGGAAATAACCACAGCTGTTAAAAACTCTGTGATGTTCAGAAACTGTGAAAAAGTCAAAATAACAGCAAATATCAGGAAAATAATGAGTTTTTAGCAGATTTAAATACAGTAAATAGTGTAGTTTTATGGTGACATATTACATTATTTACAGTTTTTTTCTTTTGGTTAACAAGTAAATTTATATTTTAATGTGATTTTACAAGGTATTATCAATAATTTAGCAAAACAGGAAGACTTGTTTTTCAACTTTTATTTATTTGTTTATTTGTTTTAAACCTTTTTTTAGTCCCTAACATACATATACATACATACATACATATATATGTAATGGCAAATATCTGTGAAATAATGATTTTTATTTTTTTTTTGCACATTTAAATCCGTTTTTTTTTTTTTTTAAATCAGTATTTTTTAAAGGTTAACTAGATATCTAAAATTTATCAAAGTAGGAACATCTGTAAAATAACAGCAAATTGTTTGTTTGTTGAAAAAAAAAATTACAAAAAAGTGCGAAGTTTGGGTCAAGTCAGCCAGACTTTCTTTGTGTTAGCATCTCGAACCTGTTCGCTGCTTAGCTGCTACAAAAAAGACTCCAAGTGAAAACAGAATGCGCTGTTGGTCACAGTTCCAGTGCTGAAACAACAACAAAGTTCTTTGAAGAAACTTGCCGTGTGTTTTAAGTAACGGAGAAAGAGAAAGAAGGAAACTCACCCAGTATGGTCAGGATGCAGAGCAGGATGGCCACCAGAGCATGAACGCTGACGCCCATCCTCGGAGCGCCGACTTTACACTGCAGAGCAGCCCGTCTGGCATCACACCGACACGACTGCAACACACAATCAATCAATCAATCAATCAATCAATCAATCAATCAATCAATCAGTTGGTACATTATTGAAACACTATCATACACACATATACTGAACATCATCTGGGCTCCATGCTGTGTGTGATTCACGACACGAACCCTGATAGAGCTTCAAAATAAAATACATCTGAGCCTTTATGTCTATGAAAACTATAAACTTAGAAGTTTTCTTCGTTCATGCTTTTTTCTTGAAGTCAATTTTATTTGACAAGAATAAAAAAAGTGAAAACAGACTGAATAAATGTATAAGTATTCATCCCTGAAGCATCCCCACATCATGATGCTGCCACCGCCATGCTTTACAATGGGGATGGTGTGTTTGTAATGATGCTCAGTGTTTGGTGCTCATCAAACATCTAGTCTTGAAGCTACAAAGCTCCATTCTGGTCTCCTCAGACCAAAGAACCTTCTTCTAGGTGACTTCAGAGTCTCCACATGTCTTCTGGTGAACTCTAGTCCAGATTTAATCTGAGCCGTTTTCAACAGAGTCTTTCTCTTTGTCTCCTATAAAGCTTTGTGACTGATGAAGAACAGACAACAGCTGTTATATAAACAGTCTCTCCCATCTCAGCTGCTGAAGCTGGGAACTCCTTCAGAGGACTCATAGGTGTCTCGGTGGCCTCCCTCACTAGTCTCCTTCTTGCTCGGTCATTCAGTTGAGTCACTTTGAAGGAGGTGAGCACTTATGCAGTCACCTATTTTTAATCTGAATCAGTTTTGTACAGAAGCAAACACAGACCTTGATCGCCATCTTGGTGACGCTGGTCTGGATCGGTTGACCTCCGTCGCTGATCCGTACGTCCACGCTGTATTCTTTGGGGTCGTCCAGGCTGAACGGACCCTGTTTCACCAAGAGGACCGCTGAGTTGTCTGCAGGAAGAGACATAAATACCAAGCGTGAGTCTGAAGAACATCACAAGCATAAAAACACACCTTTGTCTTCAGTCTAACCTGTGTCTAATTAGTGTGGTTTCCACTGATCTCAGGTAAGTCTATTTATACACTGAGCACATTAGATCTGAGATAAGGCAGCGAGAACATAAAGGCAGATGGATGTGATTAACTGTCACTTTGGTGCATTCAGGATTTAAGTCATTACGGATTATAGATAATTGCAGCACATTAAAAACCTGCAGAAATAGACTCTGAAGCAGTTCTGGCGATGTGCAGCATCAACACTCTTCTCAGAAGAGAATATTGTGACTGGAAACGTCTTTGTATTTGTAGAAACCTCCTCAGCAACAATACAGTCATCAGTCAGATTCCTGCCGGCTTCAGTTTCCTTCCGAGATAATGGGGGAGTTTCTGTCCACAGAATCCCACCGTCGGAGGAATGTCAGAGACACAATAGCAGGAAAGACCTTCTGAACACTCGGACAAACACATTCAGTAGCTGGCTGAAGGGCAGCTTTGAATACAAACAGCAGGAGGACGGCTGACATTTGGACATTAAAGTCAACTTTAACCCACTGAACTATCAGCAGGTTCCAGGTTTTTAATGCTCCTGTTTCATTTTTCTTTACTTTCGACAAAATTTACTGCAACAGAAAGTCTTGAAAGAGAGTCATGAAAAAAGAAAAAAGTCTCTTGGATTTTTTTAATTCTGCAAAAACGGAAGATCGAGAACAAACTTATCTTCTGCGTCAATCATCCATCCAGTGTCCATCTGCCAGCATCACATTCTGTCTGATTTCACACCAGACCAACATCGTGGCTCGTTTGGAAACTTGTTTTTATATTAAGAAAACATCTGAGGTGTTTCAGACGGTTTAAAGTTGTCCAGTGATGTGAGCCACGCCTGTTCCTGATCTTTTTGAATAAAGCAGCCGATCAATCGATCCAGGTCAAGGTTAGAGAACAGATGTTACAGGAGCGCCGTGAGCAGAGCATCACTGCACAAGACAGCACTTCAGTCTTTTTGAACAACCCTCATATGATAGCAAACACAGTAACCACAACCTAAATCACACAGCGCTCTGTCGTCCATGGTCCTCTAGAAGGGACCATACTTTGCAGAAAGAACACAACGCTGTGTAGAAGGAGACTTTAAACTACCGACCGAGAGCATTAACTCATCAAGAAATTGTTTACTGTGTCTAACTGGGCTCATTTTGTGTGTCTTTGTGGTCTTTCTTTTTCTAATTTAATGTAATTTGTGTTAGTTTGGTACCTTTATGTGGTTGTTTTATGTCTTCATGGTCATTTTGTGTCTCTACGTGGTCCTTTTGTACGTTGTTGTGTTTATCGCTGCATTCTTTGTGGTTGTTTTGTGTCTTTTTTGGTGGTTGTGTGTTTGTTTTGAGTCTCCCTGTCGTCATTTTGTGTCTTTGTAGCCGTTTATTGCCTTTTTGTGTCTTTATGGAGTTGTTTCATGTCATTTTGTGGTGGTCATGTGTTTTTTTGCTTTCTCCTTGTTGTCATTTTGTGCACTTGTGGCCGTTCAATGCCTTTTTCTGTCTTTATGCAGTTTTTTTGTGTCATTTTGGTTTTTGTTGATTCCCTCGGACTCTGTGTGACGCCCCCTGCTGGCTGTTTTCAGACTGTTTGTGAGTCTGTGGAGTCTCTCTAAAGCAGGACAGTGTGAGACAACATGGAGGTGTGAGGACACAAAGGACACACACAGATTGAACTGAATAAAACATGATTCGTCTTTCATCTGGTCTCTGGATGTTTCTGGTATTAAAGCTTTAATCCTGTAACGAAGCCGGTTTTCTGGGACCGTTGAAGAGTCGCTGCTCCATCAATATTTCACCAGCCTTCACTCTGCAGCTCTTCTTCAAACTGTGTGAAAAGCATCGAGGTGCCGATGGAGGATCTCTGGGGTCCGAAGCCTCCAGAGACCAGGACGGAGGTTTTACCGAAAACCGGATCTGATAAACCGGATCTGGTAGACCAGATCTGATAGACCAGCTTTAATTTTGAACAAATTTAAATGGACAATAGATTAAAGCACTTTGCCTTGGTTTTTACACCATTTTACGACTGTTTATTTGTCTTTGTTCCCTCCTCATTTAAACAGTCTAATGCCTCCTTCCTTCCATCCATCCTTCCTCCATCCTTCCTCCATCCTTCCATCCTTCCTCCATCCTTCCATCCTTCTTCAGTCCTTTCGTTGGTCCATCCTGTCGCCTCCTGCAGCCTCTGAGGTTATTCTGTGTTTATCAGCAGCTTCAGGTTTGAATCAACCTTCAGCAGCTCACCTGGACGTTTCCTCTGATCACCTGAGGCTTCGTCCGTTCGCACCTTTAATGTTCCGCTGCAGCGGCTGCAACGTTTCCCGCGGCTTCGACACGAAGATCAGAAACGATGAAAAGCCGTTTCACTGTTGAACTGAATAAACTGCAGAAGCCTTCATCAGGGATCAGTTTCACAGCTTCACCTGTTTATTCCAGCAGACATTTCTCTTTTCTGCCTTTACATCAATAATATTTACATCAGGACATTTGATCTGCTGCTTGTGGCTGAATTTATAAAAACCCAGCCGAGCTTCGTGTTGTGTCGGATGAAGCTGCAGCATCAGTTAGGGTTTGTTTATTATTCTAAATATATTAAAACACAGAAATTATGATGTTTTTGGCCTCTTTATCCTAAAAAAAACATGTTTGCTTTCAGAAAGAAACTATTTAGTTTACGTCAACAGGTTTTAAGTAAATTTTGACCAACACTGAGCCATTTTGGCTCATATTTGAGTTCTGACTAGTCTTGGAATTTTTTTTTGTTTTACAATTTTCCTGTTTTCTTCGAGAGTCAAGTGGCTGTCAAGCAGAGTGTTTCCAGGATTCTGCAGCTGTTCTGTCTCTTGGACATCATGTAAAAATCTCCAGTATTTGCTGCTGAACTAAATCCTCCGTCTGCCTGGAAACCTCAACACGCGTTCAGAAGCTAAAACTTTTTCCGATATCAGCGTCAGATCTTCGCTTCAGATGGAGTCCAGCTGTTGCATAGCAACAAGTGCTGAGTTTCCTCCATTTAGAGCATCAGCAAGGAAAAGATAAACGAGTGTGACTTACTGCCAAAGTCCCTGATGGAGAAGTTGGCGCTTTCAGAATCCAAACTGAAGGAGAAGGAGGCCGGACGGTCGTCTTTATCTGTGGCCCGAAGCGTCCCGATCACCTGAGAAACAGCAAACAGAGAGATGAAGCTTCTGACAGTAAAACCTGCAGAGGAATCATTTAAATGCTCATTTATCTGCTGTTTATTCTTGTTTCTTTATTTCAAGCTCTTGTTTGAATGTGCTAGAAACGTGAAACACCTTCATCTCAAACATTTAACTTCTTTCTTTCTTTCTTTCTTACTGTTTAGGAGAAATGTTTTGAACTTTTAAAGCTCCTGAGCCCTAAATAGATGAAACCAAACAACTTAAAATACAGAAGTTCTGATATTTAAAAAGTCACCATCAAAGTGTATCATGTGAACTCTAAAGAACAGATTGAAAAGGTTTTAAATAAATCACTAAAACGACAACATCTATCAGCCAGAAGCTCTAAAAACAGAAAGAATCACCAGATAGTCAGATAACATGTGACCTTCTGTCTCAGATTGAAGCTTAGTGCTGACTGTTGTCTGTAACTATAACTATGTATGTACGTCATGCTGATCGTCTGTGTTGGTGAGCCAAAGACAATTTTCCACCTCGTTGGACAATAAGGTTATATTCTATTCTATAAACTGTTTGCTTTCACCAGATTCTGTAAAAAAAAAAAGAAAAGATAAATTATTTGCTCCTTGATGCAACTGTGGTGCCAGTAATGACTCAGCGAAGTCTTCTTCTTGTTATTCTGGTTCCACAGAGTTGCAGGACTTTATGTTGCAGAGAAACATGAGCCTGAGAGAGGAAAAAAGAGAAACCGCTCTGCATAAAACTGTTTTTATCTCCTCACCGTATTCGTGTCGTCGTTCTCACAGACGAACATCTCGTCCACAGAAAGTTCGGGCTTGTTGTCGTTCATGTCCTGAACTATGATGTTAACTTTGACAAAAGACTCCAAACCTGCAGAAGGAAACCAGCAGAGTTACAACACGACTGAGTTCAGAGGAAACAGTTAAATCAGGTCAAACTGAGTCTAGAGATAAAATAAAGCTTCACATTTAACTCATTTAAGTTCGGACACCTTTGGACGTCTGAGAACTAAACCTGAAAAGCAGCTGTTGAGCATTTTTAAACCACTTTAAAGCCCCAGAATGTGTTTGTTCTTGAAAAGAAAAGAAAAAAAGGCCATAATGACACTTTAAAACAAATTTAGATCATTTTGAACAGAAGTTTCAAGATGTTTTGATGATTAATTTTAGACAAGTTTCATGATTCAGACCACTTTTGACTGTTTTGTTTGTTTTCTTCAGAATCTTTGTGGTTGTCCACCGTAGCTTCAGAAGTTCTGCTCATGTTCTGCACATTTTAATAATTCAGAAAAAGTTTTTGTTGCTATTGGACAAATTTCATTTTGGAGGATTTATTATTATTATTATTATTATTATTATTATTATTATTATTATTGTTGTTGTTGTTTTTGTTTTTGTTTTTTTTTTCTTCAACATCTATGAACTTGTCCACCATATATTTGTCAGCTGGACAAGTTTACTTCATGATGGACACATTTTTAGTAATTCTGGACGAGTTTAGAGCCATTTCTGCCAATTTGACATAATTGTGGATGATTTTAGTTACATGTCGTAGAAATGTTGGATCATTTTCTACAAATCTTGAGTCACGCTGCGGGTTTTTGTCATTTTGGACTAATTTCCTGGTTCAACATCCTCATGAAGTCTGACCCTGGTTTGGTTTAATATATGTGGAGTTCAGGTGGAGGGAAACAAATCATCCTGCTGGAACAGAGACTTGAGGACACAAGCTCGCTGACTGGACAAAGAAAACGTCCTTGTTCTCAGTCTGGTTGCTCCTTTGTTTCGTTTCTTATAACATCCTGTCACAATAGGAACAAACGGTTTCATTGTTGGGGTTCTGCCCTTGAAACATATATTTTCTATTGGTCTGAGTCCGATTCATTTATGTCGCCGTCACTGATGAGCTGATTAAGGTCAACTGCAGGAACACTTTCTATTTGTGAGCAGTTATTTTTTGCCACATTAAAGCTTCTTGTACGTTTATTTCACGGCGCTGACGTTCTGTCTCAGAGCCGTCTGATGAACGTGTCTCTGTGTTTGAACTATCTTTGGTGCCGTACATGGACCGTATACGGACCTCGGCAGGCTCTGGGGACCATTGTGCCGCTTAAACATCGTGACGAGCCTCAAAAATAGATCTTTGGATTTCATTCACTGCCGCTCTAAAAATACAGAGTTTGGTTTGGAAGCTGTGACGGAACAAAGAGTCGACTTAATGTGATTTTGCTCCTCCGGAGCGGGTCGACCAGGTGTGACGGCAGTGAGTTCGATCTATAAAAACCCTCGTTAATGTGCTGAACTCCTTCAATGAATCCAGACGAGAAACAACAAGAACAAGCAGCGTTTTCTGTCTTCCTTAGAGGCTGGATTGTCCGAAAAACACACTTTTCATGTAGAAGCATCATGTCCAGTATGTTTACATCGCTGGAGCATCACGTAGTCTCCTCGTCCTGCAGATGTTGAACTATCTCCATGTCTCCAGACTTTTCCTCTCTGCTCTGCTCATCAGCTGTAGAAAGATGTTTCACCATGCTGGATGTATCTCCAACAACTGGCTCCTCTGTTCACTGTTTCCGAGCCATGCTGCATTCATGTATTTATCCCGTAGGTTGGATTTTCCTCTCAGTCCCTACATTTTTGACTATGTGCATTTTTAATTACTTTCCGTATCTGTCAGCTGAAAACTCTCAGTCATGGCTCCACAGTTGCCTCAAGAAGCAAACAATTTTTAGCTCTTTGCAGAATCTGGCTGAAGAGATCATTTTTAAATGAAACATGTAGAGTAAAGTGATTTTCTGGCCTCCCTGTGTGCATAAATCACCAGAGAAAACATGTGTTTTAAAAAAAAATGTAACCTGTGTTTGGAAGAAATAGAATGATTGAAGCTGGAAACGTACCGCTGGGCTCCTCCTGAGCTTTGACCTGGAACATGTGTGTGGCCTCCAGCTCCCGGTCCAGTCTCCTCGACGTGGACAGCTGCCCGGTCAGAGGGTTGATGGTGATGGGACAGTCCTTGTCCATGATGGAGTAGCTGAGGAGGAACACCACCGGTTAGCAGGTGATCAGGTGTGTGAGGTGTCAGGTGATCAGGTGTATAAGTGTTCAGGTGTTCAGGTGTTCAGGTGTGCAGCGTCTCACCGGATGCTCTTGGCAGCTCTGTCCGGGTCTCTGGCTGAGACGGTTCCAATGTTGTTCACGTTCAGCTCCTCCATGACGGTGAAGGTGTAGATGTCCTGAGAGAAGACTGGAGGCTCGTCCACGTCCAACACCCTGACGGTCACCTGGAAGTTTCAACACTTGATTTAGTATTACGATACAAAAGGTGGTGTTTAACTCTCAGAACCCAAAACCACAAAGACGTGTTCTCTGGTTCAGAATCACCAAAACGACACCATTCATCAACTAGAAATGAGCCACAATCACTTTATTTTCAAAATTAAAATGTTTTCTCCAACCAGATTCCATAAAAACTCACATACTATAGATTATTTGACTACATGTGTTGAGCTTTTTACGTTTTTATTTAGTTTCCACTCTTATCTCTCTGCTCTGTGGAAACATTGCCTACAATTCAACTGAAAACTCAGAATTGTTGTCAAGTGACTGTCGGTCACAGTTGCATCAGTCACATCTTCACGGTTGCACAGAGAAGTACAGAATTTTTAGATTTTTATAGAATCTGGTCCAAATAAACAGTTTCCTTTTGGAGGAGACATGTTGAATAATTGATCTTTAGAAATAAGATGGTTTTAAGCTCAGATTTAGTTCATTTTTGCTACTGAAACCTGTTGTTGGTTTATTGGTTGAGACCCTCCAGGTGATGCTCACCTGTGCTGAGGTCACTGCACTGTTCACGTTGTCGGCAGGAAAACGCAGGTTTTCTCGCACCTGGACGGTAAAAGTGTAGCTGCTGGTCTTCTCAAAGTCCAGAGGCTGGAAAAGACAAGAAGGAGAGTTTGTAAAAGTCAGACCAGAGCAGGATGGGACGCTGAGCAGAGACGTTCCAATGAGTTCTTCTGAAGCTCGTTATGTTTCCAGATACTTTGGTGACAAATATGAATCCTAAAGCATTAAACTGAAGTACAGCACTGAGTCATCGCAACATGAATGAATACGTCAGTGTTTCTAACACCAGGTACCAGGCCAGCTGACAGCCTTCCCTGGGCCCGGGACAAGATGATATTAGATGCCCC